ACGTTTTGGATAAATTAAAGTGTTTTTGCAGATTCAGGTAAGTTTGTGGTTGGTTAATGTTGCACAATACTGATGAAGTAGTTTATATTTGAGTAGCAGAATTTTTTTTGATTTTATAAATGACTAATATGTTTTTTTAGAAGTACTAAGAATTTAAAGTTTTTACTAAAATTTAGGGGAGAAATTACAATACAGTAAGGCCTTAGAATATATTATATATAGCACAATCTTATTCAGAGCTGACATGTTCTGGTAATACTTCCATCTTTTTTGTGCTATTGTAATATGTATTTTTATATATTCTAATACAGTTTTGGTGCCATGTTGGTCTTTTTCTTCTTCCTAGATTACATACATGAACAATAGTACAGTATCGTTAGCAAATTAAAAATATGATAGACGGGTGTCTAGTGGTTCACGTCTGTAATCCTAGTTACTTAGGAGGTTGAGATCTAAAATCTTGGTTCAAAGCCAGCTCAGGTAGCAAAGTCTGTGAGACTCTTATCTTCAATTAGCCATCAAAAGTCCAGAAGTAGAGCTGCTTGCTCAAGTAGTAGAGTTGCTAGCCTTGAGCAAAAAAAGCTCAGGTACTGCACCGAATCCCTGAGTACAAACCTCAGGACCAGCACATCCACACAAATGATGTATTTGTTTGAGATTGTGTTACATCCCTTATTCCAGTACTTGGAACCAGAAGTATTTTAGATTATGGATTATTTTCAAATTATGAAATACTTGCATACACATAATGAGATACCTTTTTAGAACCTAAATCTAAACCCTGAATTCATTTATATAACATCTTTATGTATTTAGCCTTAAGGTAATTTTTTTTATTTTCAATTTAGTACTGAAATAAGGTATCATCATGTGGTATTGTCTATTTTGATATTGTCTCTATGCTCTTAAAATAAAACTAGATTTTTAGAGCATTTCACATTTCAGAGTTTTGGATTAAAGGTAACTTGAACCAGAATCATTTTGGAGTAACTATTCCATTTATGCGCTCTCTATTTAGGCATTATGTAAAATAGCTTTTAAATGGTTCCATATGCTGTCTTTAGAGATAAGAGTTTTACTATTATGTGACCCAGATTGGTCCACAAGCTCTAGAAACTTCCTAGCAGACATGTTTAAATCCTGTACGAACTAGGATGCTGGTTATAGAGAAGAGCTAGTAGGTATTTTTCTCAAGGAACTCTTCAAGTATAGGAAAAGATGCCTAAGTCATTAATGTGAACCATATTTACACAGGGAGCTTTTAGGAGGACCAAGAGGAGATGACAACTAGGGTGGATGGCAGAGAATTTTTAAGTGGAATGAAGGTGACAACAGAAATTTAATGAATTGTTTTTGTGATCTGACTGGGATTCTTTCCCCTTCTAAAATTGTACCTAGTTATTTGTCTATTCTAGCCAATTTAAAGAACGTATTTAACATTTGGATTTAAATGACACTCATGCTTTCAAATAATGCTTCTTTCCAGTCACTGTTTTTACTATTATAAGGGATATATGAAATGATATGGATAGCGGACATTCTTGTTTTGTTCTGAGATTCGTAGAGAATACCCAAGAGTTTTGCTGTTATTCATAATACTACGTTTGGGGTGATATGTGCTAAAACTAAGAAATCTGTGTTTATTAGGATTAAATATAGATTATCCTGTTTTTATAATTTGGTAAAGTGATTTTTTATTCTACTAGTGTAATCTATACTTACGGAAAAACCATACTAATAAACGGTTCTGTTAATACATGTGTTTTTATGTATGTGACATGCACATGGCAATACTAGGCCTTAAATTCTGGACCTTGTACTCTCTTAGCGCAAGGCTGGAGCTCTGCCTCTTGAGCCACACCTCTGCTTTCTGATGGTTGGTTGGAGATGAACACAATCCTCAGATCTCACCCTGAATAGCAAGGATGTGAGCTGCTAACACTCGGCTTATTTGGCATTTTTTGTTCATACATTTATAAAGACGAATGGTCTTTATAACTGGACAGAGAGTCAAGCCGTATTTCTTTCTTTCTTGTTTTTTTTGGGGGGGAGGGAGTGGGGGTTGGTCATGGGGCTTGAACTTAGGGCCTCAGTGCTGTTCCTGAGCTTTTTTGCCCCAATTTCCTGGTGGTTAATTGGAGACAAGAGTCTGACAGACTTTTTTTTCTTTTCCTTTTAAAAAAAAGTTTTATTGTGAAGATGCTGTACAGATAGAGGAGTAATGAGTACATTTCTTGTTGAACATTGTGACCCCCTGTTTTTCTCTTACCATCCCTCCCCCCCCCCCAATATTTCTTTTAAGGGCAGAATAGCTAATAATTGCTTTCCTGAGACATGAACTGATTTTATAGAAGTATGAATTTTGAAGTAGATATTTTATTACTACTGTAGTTTGTGGTCATACTATATCTAAAAGAGAAAGCAGGGGCTGGGAAGGTGGCTCAGTGGTAGAGCGCTTGCCTTGCATGCCTGAGGCCCTGGGTTCGATTCCTCAGCACCACATAAGCAAAAAGAAAAAAGCCGGAAGTGGTACTGTGGCTCAAGTGGTAGAGCGCTAGCCTTGAGCTGAGGGACAGTGCCCAGGCCCAGAATTCAGGCCCCACGACCGGACCCAAAAAATAAAAGAGAAAGCAAAGTCTTACTATAAATTTTAATTAGGTTTGTCTAAGTTTGCATCAGACTATACTTGTAAGTTTTGTTTGTGATAAAGTCATCTTTTCTTTCCTTGTTTTTTGGAAAAGAAACAGTTTCAAGGATTTAGTATTAGTCATGGTTGTTGGGTTTGAGGGGTTTTTTTTGTTTTGTTTTGAGATATAGTGTGTCATTATGTAGCCCAGGATAGTCTGAAACTCTTAAATAGTTCAAGACAGCCTGAAACTTAGGTTTCTCTTTCTTCAGCCTCCCAGTTCAGGGTTATAAATGTGTACCACTATAATTTTAGGTGTTTGAAATTTATTTTTTAAGCTAGTGCCTCAGGCTTCTGTCTATAGTCCTAGCTACTCAGGAGGCTGAGATCTGAGGATCATCATTCAAAGCCAACTTATGCAAGAAAGTCATAAGACTCATCTTCAGTTAACCAACCAAAAGCCATAGTGTGTGGCTCAAGTGGTAGATAGAGCACTAGTCTTGAGCACAAAAGCTCAGGTATAGCTCTAAGGCCCTGAGCTCAAGCCCCAGGACTGGCAACAATGCAGGGCGGCAGGTGGGGGGAGGGGGAGTATTTTTATTCCACAAGAACTTTTCATTAGTATCATTTAATGTAAGTTTCAGAATCTTAGGAAATAGATATTTCTGCTGATATTATTTAGAAATTGGAAGTTTGAACCTAACTAAGATATATTTAAAATGAGATTCACTGTATGAATTCATAGAATCTAGGTCAAAGACATTTCCAGCTTTAATGTTTGAAAATTCAGATGATTGTACCTCCTTGGTACTAAACCAGTTGACCTAAATAATAACATTTAAAATGTTATATATGTGGTTATATAAGAATAGAATCATCCTCTCTATAACACTATAAACTGATAGAAAGGAATTACGTCTGTGGTTTACATTTGGCAAAACTTGATACACTGGTACAGTTTGGACAAAGAGATTATTCTTCATGAGTTAGTTTAGGAAAGGATTTGAGTACCACACTTTAGCTGAAAGGAGGAGTGATAGGGCTAAAGAAGAGTCCTCAGTACTAGAGTTGATAGGAGAAATTGCTAGGCAAGGTGGCTGCAAGCTGCTAAAATTGTGTGAGTCTTTTGCCGGAGGATGTTGCTAGTAACATGCTGTTGAACTGAACTCAGTCCCCTTGTGTGGCTAGTTTGTTTTGTTTGTTTCTACGTTTCTTTTCTTCTTCTTCTTCTTCTTCTTTTTTTTTTTTTTGCTGGTTGTGGGACCTGAACTCTGGGTCTGGGCGCTGTCCCTCAGCTCTTCAGCTCAAGGCTAGCACTCTACCACTTGAGCCACAGCGCCATTGCAGCCTTTTCTGCTTATGTGGTATTGAGGAATCGAACCCAGGGCCTCATGCATACAAGGCAAGCACTCTACCCACCTTCCCAGCCCATTTTTGTACATTTCATGTCTTTATTCTGTTAATTGAATTTACACAGATCTTTTAACAAAGGATCATTCTAAAATGATACTTTTGGTACTTTCTTTGTATTGAAATTAGACTCAAAAGCATAGAAAAAGAAAATTCTTAGGACAAAATATGAGAGAAGTAGGAAGAAATATGGAATCTATTGAACAAATTCAAATTATATAAGATCTATGTTGAAATAATGGTGATTGGCAGTATTATTACATTTTAAAAGGTAATGTAACAAATATGAACTGGGTCTCAATCACTAAAATATGCCAGAACAAACAAATGCAACAGAGCTTTGTGTCATCAGTGTAGATGTTTTAAGAAATGTACTCATCGTTAGGTTTCTGGTGGGTTTAGTTTCAGGAGATATGCTTCCCCTGGAAGTACAGAAACCTGCAAGTGCTCAAATCCTTTCTATAAATTGGCACTGTGTTTACACATAACCTCTGTGTAGCCTCCCATATACTCAAGTCATCTCTAGATCACTTACAATACCTAATTCAATGGAAATGTTGCATAATTAGTTATATTGTAATTGTTAGTGAAAAATGAAAAATTCTATACATGTTCAGTACAGAAACAACTTTCAGCTAAGTATTTTTGTCATATGTTCGGTTGAATCCACGGATACAAAAGGCTGACTGCATTGTTTTTTCAGGAATATCAGTATCTATGAACTTAATAAATTGTAGAGCAATATAGAAATGGAGACTTAGACTGGCTTAATATTATAACAGTCTTTCATTGTACTGCACAGGTCTTGTACAAAGGCATATATCTGGTTTGAAGCACCTGGTTTTGTATTTACTTAAAGCTTGTATTAACTAGGCATGCAGTATATCAAGTTTTCCAGGTATTTTCTGATGTGAAAACATTGAGCATAAATGATAAACTTATTACAGATGTTTTCTGCTTTCAGCTGCTTTTCTAACCCAAACTGTGTGTCTTGATGACACAACAGTAAAGTTTGAAATATGGGATACAGCTGGTCAAGAGAGATACCATAGCCTAGCACCAATGTACTACAGAGGAGCACAAGCAGCCATAGTTGTGTATGATATCACAAATGAGGTAAGTACTAATCTTACTCTGAAGCTAGTTTGAAGATCCAATTCAGAATTGATCAGAGGCTGGGAAGGTGGCTTACTGGTAGAGTGCTTGCCTAGCATACATGAAGCCCTGGGTTCAATTCCTCAGTACCACATAAACAGAAAAGGCCAGAGGTAGCACTGTGGCTCAAGTGGTAGAGTGCCAGCCTTGAGCAAAGGAAGCTCGGGACAGTGCCCAAGCCCTGAGTTCAAGCCTCAGGACTGGCAAAAAGAAAAAATTGATTAGAGATTTTAAAAATTAATTTTGATAGCCAAAGCTTTGCAAGTAAAATTATAATATGGAAGTATTTCAAATGGTGTAATTTCCTTTTCAGGGTTGCCTTTAGGAAGTATTTATAAAAGCCTCTCTCACACAGATGCTTCATAGCCATTTTTTGCCCTACACCAATACCTTTTCCTTTGTTTAAATAGGAGTCTTTTGCAAGAGCGAAAAACTGGGTTAAAGAACTTCAGAGACAAGCAAGTCCTAACATTGTAATAGCCTTATCAGGAAACAAGGCTGATCTAGCAAACAAAAGAGCTGTAGATTTCCAGGTATGGTATATTTAAGTGTATGTGTGTGTGTGTGTGTGTGTGTGTGTGTATATGTGTGTGTGTGAGAGAGAGAGAGAGAGAATGTTTAAACTCAAGGCCTAGGCACTGTCTCTTAGCCTTTTTGCGTAAAGCTGGCACTCTACCACTTGAACCATATCTCTCCTTCCAGCTTTTTGGTGGTTGAGAGTCTCATGGACTTTTCTGCCCAATCTGGCTTCTAACCATGATCTATGGATCTTTGCCTTCTGAGTAGATTACAGGCATAAGCTGTCAGTACCCAGCTCCAGAAGCACATTTTTTTGTAAATGATTTTAAAATCTTTGAAAATAGGAAATACAGATTTTAAAGAAATATAATGTACTTCATGTACTACTAATATTTTTCATGTAGTTAGAGGTATATACTGTTAAGTGGTAGAGTACTTGCCTGGCATGGACCACAAAAAATATATTTATCCTGTTGAAACCTTTTTTTTTTTTTTTTTTTTTTTGTCGGTCATGGGGCTTGAACTCTGGGCCGGGGCGCTGTCCCTCAGCTCTTCAGCTCAAGGCGAGCGCTCTACCACTTGAGCTACAGCGTCACTTCCGGTTTTCTGGTGGTTTATTGGAGATAGGAGTCTCACGGTCTTTCTTGGCCAGGTTGGCTTTGAACCGCGATCCTCAGATCTCAGCCTCCTGAGTAGCTAGGATTACAGGCGTGAGCCACCAGCGCCCGGCTTGAAACCATTTTTTTTATTTTTTGTTGGTCATGGGGCTTGAACTCTGGGCCTGGGCTCTTCAGCTCAAGGCAAGCCCTCTACCACTTGAGCTACAGTGCCACTTCCAGTTTTCTGGTCGTTAATTGGAGATGAGTCTCACAGGCTGGGAAGGTGCTCAGTGGTAGAGTGCTTGCCTTGCATACACGTGGCCCTGGGTTTGATTCCTCAGTACCACATAAGCAGAAAAGGCTGGAAGTGGTGCTATGGCTCAAGTGGTAGAGTGCTAGTCTTGAGCTGAAGAGCTGAGGGACAGCACCTAGGCCCAGAGTTCAGGCCCCAAGAATGACAAAAAAAGAAAAGTCACAGACTTTCTTCTCCTGGCTGGCTTTTAAAACAGAATTTTTAAATACTGTTTTAGTTTTATGGTAGTATACTGTGTGAACTGATTTTGCTGACCTAAACAGTTTAAAATTTTGGGACTGGGAAGGTGGCTCAGTGGTAGAGCGCTGGCCTTGCATGCCTGAGGCCCTGGGTTCGATTCCTCAACACCACATTAGCAAAAAGAAAAAAGCTGGAAGTGGTGCTGTCACTCAAGTGGTAGAGCGCTAGCCTTGAGCTGAAGAGCTGAGAGACAGCGCCCAGGCCCAGAGTTCAGGCCCCACGACCGGACCCTAAAATAAATAAATAAAATAAAATGTTATATACCAACAGTGCAGAAATAATGATTGTCCTCTACCATTATCCATCTATATCCACTCACTGTAGGAAGTATTGTCCCTTTTATTTCTTTTTCTACTCATTACCAATGTCTGTCAACATTTATAATACACATAATCATAACATACATATATATATATATATACATATATATATATATATATATATGATTTTTGCTCACATCTGGTTATTTTTTTTTTTTTTTGTTTATGTGGTGCTGAGGAATCGAACTTAGGGCCTTATGCATGCAAGGCAAGCACTCTACCACTGAGCTACCTTCCCAGCCCTACATCTGGTTATTCTTAAAAGGACATTCAGAAATAAAGTATAAAAAATGCAGTTTATTTTGTCACCTGAGATAGATGATTCAGAATATTCTTTCTTCAAAATAAGTGCTTATAGTTCTAAAAGAAACCTTCTTTTTTGGTTGGAAACTGGGACTTCAAGTCACTGCCTGACACTTTTGCTAATTGACTAGCATTCTACCAACCATGCCTCCAGCCCCTTAAAAACAAGCCTTCTAATCAGAATTTCTTAAACCACCTCTCAGAAAAGTCTAGTTATAGCTATATAATATTAGCTATAATATGTAGCCATATAATATAGCTATATGTATATATGTGTGTGTGTGTGTGTGTGTGTGTAGAAGCTGAGCACTAGTGGTTCACACTTGTAATCCTAGCTACATAGGAGGCTAAGATCTGAGGACCATGTTTCAGATCCAGCCCAGGCAGCAGAAACATCTGTAAGACTCTTATCTCCAGTTAACCACCGAAAACCAGAAGTATCACTGTGGCTCAAGTGGTAAGAACACTAGCCTTGAGCTGAAGAGCTCTGGGACTCTGAGCCCAGGCCAGAGTTCAAGCCCCACAACCGATAAAAAAGTATCAGTGGCAGAATAATTTTGTTTTGAGGATGGTAGATGGAACTAAAAGGAGACTGTTTCTTTTTTTTATGTGTGGGGGGGGTCCGGTCATTGGGCCTGGGCGCTGTCCCTCCGCTCTTCAGCTCAAGGCTAGCACTCTACCACTTGAGCCATAGCACCACTTCCGGCTTTTTTTTTTTTTTTGGTTATGTGGTGCTGAGGAATCGAACCCAGGGCCTCATGCATGCAAGGCAAGTGCTCTACCACTGAGCAACCTTCCCATTGTTTCTTATACCATTAGGTATTAAGCTGGCCCATTACACATGGGGTTTTATTTATGTGGCAGCCATGTTAGGTGTAATATCTATTATTCTTTCCGAGACAGTTAATCTTCACAGTATACAATGGTAAAAGAGTACTTAAATGGTAGTCAAAAGTGGCCTGTCCAGGCCTGGGTGGCCCACACCTGTAATCCTAGCTACTCAGGAGGCTGAGATCTGAGGATCATGGGTCAAAGCCAGCCTGGACAGGAGAGTTCGTGACATTCTTATCTCCAATAAAGCACTCAGAAAACTGCAAGTGGTGCTGTGGCTGAAGTGGTAGAGCACTAGCCTTAAGCTGAAATGCTAAGGAACAGTGCCCAGGCCCAGAGTTAAAGCCCCACAACCGACCAAAATAAAAAGACCTGTCCAGTACTTCTTCAAAGGAGCCTCCATTTCTTGATCAAATGGGAAAGATAATTTGTTGCTTCTCAGAACCACTGTGAGAAAGGTGGTAATATATTCAGACTGTAGAGTCAGACTGAAGTGTAGAGCAGTAACATAATTTTCAAGGGAATTATTCACTTGATACATTCAAAATTATGTTGCTGTCAAAATTCATTCAAAACTGTGAGGGTGGCATTCAGTACTTGAAGCCATATATGGTATTTGACTGCTCTTTGTCTTCTTTATTACAGATAATGGGCCTAAGTAAAAATTGAATTGAAGTCAGAGAAATTCTTGTATTTAGAGTGAATAAAGTCCTTTCCCCTGAACTCATTATATGAAAGCAGATTTAAGCAGAGCACCAGTGACTCACGCCTGTAATCTCCAATAAACCACTCAGAAAACTCGAAGTGTTGCTGTGACTCAAGTGGTAGAACACTAGCCTTGAGCTGAAGCGCTCAGGGACAGCACTGAGGCCCAGAGTTCAAGCCCCAAGACTGACAGAAAACAAAAAAGCAGGTTTAATGTTATAACAGAAGGATTTGGGCATAATAATGCAGGAAGTTATGACAAAAAGAAAATATTCAATGATAAATTTCCCATGCATTGCTTCTACCTTTGTTAAAACTTAATATAGTTGTTGATGCAGGTAATCAAGTTGAAAAAAGCAGATGTGTTGTAATGTATGTGCATGGATATATCTCATTTTTCTTACCAATAGGAAGCACAGTCTTATGCAGATGACAACAGTTTGTTATTCATGGAGACATCAGCTAAAACATCAATGAATGTAAATGAAATATTCATGGCAATAGGTAAGATTTATAGTAATTATTTTAAAATGATAACCGTGTATAGATCTGTCTGCTTTAAAAAAAAAAACTCGAGTCTTTTTTAACTGATTATACTACTTTCATAGTCCCTTCCACTAAGCAGTATTTTGTTAGTAATATATTTGAAAAATCATTACCTATTAGGTTGTAAATCATTACCTGATAGGTTCTAATACTAACAGTTTTGGCACATTTCTTCTAGGGTGAGCTATAGTTATTTTTTGGTTGGTTGATTGTTTAATGCTTATCCTAGGGCTTGAACTCAGGGACTTGAGTTTTTTGTTCAAGGCTAACACTCTACAACTTGAGCCATGGCTCCACTTCAAGCTTGTTTGGTGCTTAATTGGAAATAAGAATGTTTCTGGGCTGGAAAGGTGGCTCAGTGGTAGAGTGGCACTGTGACTCAAGTGGTAGAGCCCTAGCCTTGAGCTGAAGAGCTGAGGGACAGTGCCCAGGCCCAGAGTTCAGGCCCCATGACCGCCAAAAAATTAATAATAATAATAATTAAAAGGGCTGGAGATGTGGTTCAAGTGGTAGAATGCCTGCTTCTAAGAGAGTACAGAGCTAGGATTGAAAGTTCAAGGCCAACCTGAGCAACTTAGAAAATTCCAGATCAGCATAGACCACATAGCAAGATCCTGCCTCAAAACAAAAACAAAAAAAGGTCTAAGCCAGGCACTAGTGGCTCACACCTGTAATCCTAGCTAAGGAGGAAACTGAGATCTGAGGATCACAGTTCAAAGCCTCGGGCAGAAAAGTCTTGAGACACTCATTTCCAATCAACTACTGTGAAAAAGCCAGAAGTTGCACTGTGGCTCAAGTGATAGAATATTAGCCTTGAGCAAAAGAAGCTCAGAGACTGTGCCTAGGCCGTGAGTTCAAGTCCCAGGACCAGAAAAAAGAAAAAGTTTCAGACTTCCCTTCCTGGACTGGCTTTGAACCAAGATCCTTAGATCTCAGCCTCCTGAGTAGATATGGTTACAGGTGTGAGCCACCAGAATCCAGCTATAGTTGGTTTTCTAAAGATTCCATGCTCACTCATATAGTCCTAGCTACTCATGAGGCTGAGATCTGAGAATAGCAGTTCAAAGCCAGCAGGAAAGTCCATGAGACACTTACTTTCAATTAACCACCAGAAAACCTAAAGTGGCTCTGTGGCTCAAGTGATAGAGCACTAGCCTTGAGCTGAATAGCTGAGGGACAGCTCCCAGGCCCAGAGTTCAAGAACCACAACCAAAAAAAAAAAAAAGATTCCACTGAAAGTTGGAATAAGTACATGTTTTCTTTTTTGTTTGTTGGCCGTGGGGCTTGAACTCTAGGACTGCGTGCTGTCCCTCAGCTCTTCAGCTCAAGGCCAACACTCTACTACTAGAGCCGCAGCACCACTTCTAGTTTTCTGGAGGTTAATTGAGATAAGAGTTTTATAGCCTGGTGCTGGTGGCTCTCGCCTGTGATCCTGGCTATTCAGGAGGCTGAGATCTGAGGATCCTGGGTCAAAGCCAGCCTGGGCAGGAAAGTCCCATGAGACTCTTAACTCCAATTAATCACCAGAAAACTGAAAGTGGCCCTGTGGCTGGAGGTAGAATGCTAGCTTTGAGCTGAAGAGCTCAGGGACAGTGCCTAGGCCCAAAGTTCAAGCCCCACGACCAACAACAACAACAACAACAACAAAAAGAATCTCATTTTCTTTCTTTTTTTGGGGGGGGGGGGGCAGGGATAGGGCTGTCCTGGTGCTTGACTCAGGGCCTGGGCACTGTCCCTGAGTTTCTTTTGTTCAAGGCTATAGCACTCTACCACTTTGAGCCACAGTGCCACTTTTGGCTTTTTCTGTGTACGTGGTACTAAGGAATCAAACCCAGGGAATCATGTGTACTAGGCAAGCACTCTACCACTAAGCCACATTCCCAGCCCTCCTTACTTTTTTGTATGTGGTAATCCCCTCCTTTTCTGTGGGAATATATTCTGAGACGCTCCCTTGACTGCCTAAAACCTTAAATCCATATTGAACCCTGTGATACAATGTTTTTTCTATCTCTGGGTTCTTTGATTAGGGAACAACCTGCCTGTTCCACCTTGACTACTACACACTTAGCACACACTAGCTATTAGTCTTGCATCTTGAGATGAAAAAGTAGGACCAGTACAGATTCTTCAGTTTCATAAAAAGGAAAGATTCCTTTTTAAATGAATTATGTTGTGAGGCTGGGAAGGTGGCTCAGTGGTAGAGCGCTTGCCTTGCATGCATGAGGCCCTGAGTTAGATTCCTCAGCACCACATAAGCAAAAAAGAAAAAAGCCGGAAGTGGCGCTGTGGCTCAAGTGGTAGAGTGCTAGCCTTGAGCTGAAGAGCTGAGGGACAGCGCGCAGGCCCAGAGTTCAGGCCCCATGACCAAACCCAAAAAAATAAATAATTAATGTTGTGGATTGACTGCTAACAATAGTACAATACCACTGCAGAGCAGCTATATCCCAGCCTTGAAGATTTGTTTTATGTCATTTGGTTGGGTTTGGTTTTTGAAACTAGCAACCTAGGCTGACCTTTAGAGAGAGTGTGTGTGTGTGTGCGTGCGTGCGTGCGTGCGTGCGTGTGTCATGGGGCCTGAACTCTGGGCCTGTGTGCTGCCTCTCAGCTCTTCAGCTCAAGGCTGGCCCTCTACCACTTGAGCCACAGCACCATTTCTGGCTTTTTCTGCTTATGTGGTGCTGAGGAATCGAACCCTGGGCCTCATGCATGCAAGGCAAGCACTTAACAACTGAGCCACCTTCCCAGCCATCGAGGATTTGTTTTTATGGTTGATCAGATTTTTTTTTTTTTTTTTGGTCCGTGTAGGGCTTGAACTCTGGGCCTATGTACTATCCCTCAGCTGGCACTCTACCACTTGAGCCACAGTGCCACTTCCACTTTTCTGAGTGGTTTATTGGAGATAAACTTTTCCTGGGCTGGCTTTGAACCACAATCCTCAGCTATTCAGTAGCGAGGATTACAGGCGTGAGCCACCAGTGCCCAGCTTACCATCAGATTTAAGTCAAGAATTTTTGTAGTTTCTCTCGGGAAGCGAAGCGTTTCATGGTTTTCCTTCTACATACCAAAACTTCCCATATCCTACTTTGGTGCTTCAGAGCCATTATTTGGTAATATTTTGCTTTAACACAAACACTGATACCAAGATAGTCTGATTGAGCTGGTTATAAGGATACATTGGAGAGTGCTAAATACAGTATAATTGAGGTCTACATCAGGATAGATTGAGATGGTGCAAGTTTTCATCATGTGACACAGAACAGTACCCCGTTTGAAGCATGAATTACTACTAGAATTTTCCATTTAATATTTCAGCCCTGAGCTATAGGAGTATGAAATCATAAAGGAGGAGACTACCAAAGGAAGAAGAAAATAAGCTCAGCAATATTAACTATATATGACCCAGGTGCTGGTGGCTCATGCCTGTTATCCTGGCTTCTCAGGAAGCTGAGATCTGAGGGTTGCTGTTCAAAGCCATTCCAGGCAGCAAAGTAAATTGGAGATAAGAATCTCCCGTTAACTACTGAAAGCCAGGCAGAGAGATGTGGCTCAAATGGTAGAGCATTAGTCTTGAGCAAAAAGTTCAGGGACAGTACCCCCAAAAGGAAAGTTAACATTTAGAAATAAAAAAAAAAAAAAAAAAGACTGGCAGTGTTACTCAGTGGTAGAGTACTTGCATAGCATGCAAACTCTCCTTGAGTTTGATTCCCAGCAATGCAAAAAATAGTGGGAGGAGGACATAACCAAATAGACACTAATTTGTTCAGATATGTAATGAGATCTTTTGTTGTTGTTGTTGTTATAAAATACCTACATTTTTTTTCTTTAGTGTTTACTTGAAATTAGATTGGCTCCCATCTGGAAAAAAATCTCAAGTATATGTAGGATTATCTTTTCTTCATGCGGTTTTTTTTTTGGTTTTGGTTTTTTGGAAGTGCTACAGAATATACTTGGTAGACTTGACACTTTCCCTTTGAGCCCTGATCTTGGCTATTTATGCTTTGAGGTTTTTGGTTTTTGATGCCTGTCTTGGAGCTTGAACTCAGGGCCTGGGTGCTATCCCACAGGTTTTTTTTGCTCAAGGCTAGTCACCTACCACTTGAGCCACAGCTCCATCTATGACTTTTTTGGTAGTTAATTGGGCATAAGAGTCTCTTGGACTTTGTTGCCCTGCTAGCTTTAAACTGAGATCCTCAATCTCAGCCTCCTAATAAGCTAGAATTACAGGTGTGAGCCACCAGAGCTTGCACTCTGGCAGTTTTTGAAATAGGCTTTTTGCCAAAGCATTGCTCTTTCTTTTGCTTCCTGCTGTACCTAGATAGGGAGTATATGCCACCATTCCCAGGTTTCTGTTAAGATGCAGTCTCTCAAACTTTTTTTTGCCGGGCATGACCTAGAGCCATATTCCTTCCAATCCTAGTCTCCCATGTAGCATTTACCACCAAACCCACTGTTGGCTGAGATGGGCTTTTGCAAACATTTTGCCTGGGCGGGCCTCAAAGCATGATACTTTCAACTTCAAATTCTTGAGTAGCTAAAATTACAGACATGAGCCCTTATGCCTAGCCAGTCCAAGTTTGGTGTGTTGGATCACACAATACCATAGGATTATATAATTTTTCCAGTTTGTGGACTACAAAGTAGCTTATTATATTTATAACTTCCAGCTCTCCAGTTTTTCTTATTCAGTTGTAATTGGTGAAAGCCTTTTTAGAAATATGCTCAAGAGTGAGATAATTTGCTTAATCCAAAACCTAGTTTGTTTCTTATTATCAGTACATAATGCTAGCATACTCTGTGTCTGCTACTAGTTTTTCTCACCTATAGGGCATTGCTTATAAATACATTTAACTGAGAATTTATCATTATTCTTTATGCTGCAATCTACAGAGCAGTTCCTAGAGGAATTGGCCCATTTGAAGCTTTCTTCCCAAATTTCAGTGCTCCTTCCTGCCTCCAGACCACTTCCTAGCACCTGAGACTCTAAAGATAGTTAATGCTCTTGTAGAATAGCAGAGAAAAATAATGCAGGCTGGTGTTGCAGCTCAGTGATAGAATACTTACCAAATATATACATACCACCCCTGGACTCCATCCCCAGCATCACAAAAGGAATAAAAATAATTAACAAACTAAAATGTAAGTGGACATTCAGATTTTGTGTGTGTGTGCCACTCCTGGGGTTGAACTCTCAGGTCTTGGGCACTGTCCCTGAGCTTTTTGCTCAAGGCTGGTGCTCCACTACTTGAACCACAGCTGTACTTCCAGCTTTTTTGGTAGTTAATCGGAGATAAGTATCTCACCGACTTTCCCTTGCCCATGCTGGCTTTGAACAATGATCCTCAGATCTAAGCCTCCTGAGTAGCTAGGATTGCAAATATGAGCCACTAGTGCCCAGCTCTGAGCATTGGGAAACTGTCAGGCAGGCAGACAGGTGTGAGGTACCAGTTGGGGCAAAGCAGGCACTTTTTAATCATTGGGGCACAGCCTACAACATAACCATTACCTTTAGAGAACTTAGCAGAATTAAAGCTGTACACATTGGTTTGGAGCTTTTGATAGGCCACACTCTTTGACAAGAGGAAATTGAATTTTAGTTTTAGAGATAGGGTCTTCAAGAAAGATTCTGCCTTATATTAGATTCAGCTGCTGGGTGAACTACGTTAAGGTTAGCCCATAGGAGGAGAAAATGTAGATCTTTAAAAGGTGAAGGCTATGGAAGGCAGGAAGGAAATAGGAGATCCAATCTGTCATAATTCTGAGTGTTAGATTGCATAGTAGAGGACAGGCTTTGTTAAGGTTATAATGCTTGTGCTTGTAGTGATACCTGTTCATATCTGAAATTGTTCTCAAGTGTTTGTGACCGAGCCAGCATGGTAGTATACTCAGGGACTGAGTGAGTGAGTTTGAGTCTCACCTGTGCTAAACCGTGAGGCCCAGTCCCAGAGGTTGAGAGGAGGGTGACTGATAGTTCACACAACAATGATCCTTAATAAAATTATATGGCAAGATAATTAAGCAGCAGCAGCTGACAAACATTGCTGCTCACAGATACACTCAGCAAGTCAGATGGTCTCACTATGTGTCTAGCCTGCTTTTGAACTCCAGGGGCTTATGTGACCTTCCTACTTGAAGCTCCAGAGGGAGTAGCTAGGACTTTTGATAACTATGTGCCTACATCTCATTCCTTCCTTCTCCCAAACACTCAGCAATTAAGCTCCTTTAATACAGCAACCAGTATTTTTTAGTAGATACTAGTATTAGCAACCAGTATTATTTAGTAGATACTAAGTAAGCACTGGAAAAAATTGAGCATTTAGTTCTGTGAAAGTGGGGATAAACTAACTGCAAAAAAAATGGTTTACATAAGTAAAAGAAAGTAACTTTAGTATGACTATTTTGATTGTGTTTATTTGGTCATTTCTTCTCTCTCAGCTAAAAAGCTACCAAAGAATGAACCACAGAATCCAGGAGCAAATTCTGCTAGAGGAAGAGGAGTTGACCTTACTGAACCGACACAGCCAACCAGGAGTCAGTGTTGTAGTAACTAAATCTCCAGTTTGAACTAGCTGGAATTTTCTGCTTCCTAAACATTAATAACAGTGGAATTGGAGCATTTAACCGGCCCAGTATGACTTCCAAAAAGAAGAGACTTATGATAGATGTCAAGTTTCTAATACAGGATTATTTTAAGTGTTTTGAACTTAATTTTTTTTAATAACGTGCATGTATCCCTCTGACTAATGTTTCAGCAATAGAAAGGGAAATGACTGTGTATAATTGTTTCATTGGAAGTTAGAGGGAATAATTTCTCATCATTAGGGATAAAGACAAATGACTACTTGGACCTATAGTCACTCAGTTTTTCCAGACTGGGACAATGGTCATCTCTGAAAATGATTTGGAAATTAACTAATTTGGGCTTTTGAAAAACATTTTTAGAAGGAGATTTTAAAAATATGCCTAGCTACAGTATTCACATCAATGATCATTTCTTCTGTTATCTAAAGTCTACATTCCACAGTTAATAAATTACTACAAGGAAATGGTCCCACTTCTTCAGGAAGAAAGAAGAAATGTTTGTAGCACCTAAATTGTAGCTAGTTGTTTTTTTTTTTTTTAAGTAGGATTTTAATAAGTCATCTGTAACCCCATCTTGTTCTAGGAACACAAAAACTGATAAATGCATTTTAATGGGTAGTGTAAGCTCATCAACAAAAAATGGAAACCAACCAGGTGTCTGTGATTTCTATTTAATCACTGCTGGCCATTATATATATCTTGTAAGGGAGGGAGGGGCTCTTGTTCCCTCCCGATATAATAGAGTCAGTGCACTAACAATTATGTACGTTTAAACTTGATTATTTTAAATTTGATCTTCAACTGTACTGTAAATAGGGTACTGCATTGTAGTCTCCATATGTTTATTATTTTCTGTAATATTTAAGAATTGCTTAAAAGTATACAAAATGTACAGTTACTAAAACAGCTAATTATTTCTTTCTCCTCCTTTGAAAAGAAGGGGCTTCAGGTTGTTCCTACATGGCTAGAACCATAATAAACAATGCACCTGTAATTTGTAACATAAGTATTATGATGCTAGTAACAATCTTGCAGCTTTGTTTTTCAAAGTCTATTTTATTTTGATCAGTTCAGTATATTGCACTAATTATTTTAGGTATTTTCATTATATGAAATCTACCATGTGTCAGAGATGATTTAATCTATTTAAGTGTTGAACTGCTAGCAGAACTTGTACATTTTACAGTAATTGAGAATTAGTAAGGAAAACAGTTCACCAGTGTTTAGTTTTATATTGAGGTGCTCAGGTTGGAATAAAGTGGTATAAAAAGCAGTACTTGTTTTTCTCTTTTTTAATACAAACAGTGCGTGTCTATTGATAGTATTATATAAACCAAAGTCTGCTGTTAAAATTTTCTTACGATCTTTAGTAATCCTTGCATATCCTCTGATAACTGTTTTGGGAAGAATTGTCTTTGTGCTGTTACATTTTGGTGCTCTGGATAATTAGAACTTTATTTTTTATGGCAGCACTGGATACTCACTTCCACTGAGAAATATTAACATAACTGTGATGTTGTCTCTGGAACCAAAGTCTGCTGTTAAAATTTTCTTACGATCTTTAGTACTCCTTGCATATCCTCTGATAACTGTTTTGGGAAGAATTGTCTTTGTGCTATTATGTTTTGGTGCTCTGGATAATTAGAACTTTATTTTTTATGGCAGCACTGGATACTCACTTCCACTGAGAAATATTAACATAACTGTGATGTTGTCTCTGGAACCAGCCCGCAAGGCAGCATTTACGAGTTCACGGCTGACATACTCAGCCGCACCTTCATAGAAATCCTTAGCTTGTGATTTGTTTCTGCTTATTTGCAAACTGTAGACAGTGTTGGATCTGTCAGTTTCTTCTGCCTTTCTGAAAAGTGTATGATTAGTCATCTTTGATGGACGTGTTTCCACATTTTTAGGGCCAGAAGAGTGGTATTCAGCATATTTTGAGCCAGAAATCTTGTTTGTATTTGTAATTGACACATGTTTTTTAGATTCCTCTATATTCTGAAATAGTATGTGGATGTTGCTGTCTGATTTAGTAATATCTGTGTCACTGTTGGGAATAAGCGGAAGCTCTTTGGATGGTGAAGATTTGCGTTGTGTGACAAGATGGTACACTTCTGTATACATCTGAAACAATGTTATTATCAGTGAAGTGACTTCCTTTTTATCCAAAACTTCCCAAAGTCCATTAGTAGCTAGCAAAAGGAACTGACACAAATCATCTATAGGGACAGAAATGGTTTGAGGTGCTGGGATAAAGAACTTTTTCAGTTGGGGGTTGCCATGAAATCCAAATCCTCGTGTGGTTTTTATTTGTCCTTCTAGGAGCCCACTTAGTTCGTTGGGGCTAATTACTGCTCCGCCGTCAAGCACTCTTTTTCTCTCATTGATGTTCCGTGTGGTATGTTCTTTGGTTAAGCAGAATCCTTTGCCATTTCTGCATAAAAGTGCTTGCACATTACCTGTAGATTATTTTTTAATGGAACAATTACCAGTTGTGCCAACATATGCTGTTAACTTTACTCAGTCCTGTGTTTCAGTGCTCATCAGAAAGCAGGCCAAGTAAAAATACTTTATTTGGGCTGAATGGTTTACAGTTAGTTAGATTTCAAACTGAGAAAGAACCAGTTTTCTCTGTGTGAAGCAATACACTGCATTTACTATTAAAATAATTCAAACCACAGATTGAATATTACCTACTTCAACTTTTTTATAACCAATACATATTCCATGTAGCAGATTTTTTAATGTTTAAATGAAAGCTATTTTGAATAGTAAATGTGAAAACCAAAATGGAACTTAGGTGATGGGTGGAAAAACAATTAGAATGCCTACTAGGTTCCTGCAATATGTAATTAAACAAAAAGTAAGTCATTCTGTGAAGAAAAAAAACAGGCATTACTACTAATGTACTAAATGGATTAAACCCTTTGGTTCAGAACTGAAATCTTAAATAAGTTCCATTGTTCTGAAATAGTTTAGGATATTTGGTTTGAGGCAGGCTGGCCTTGATCCTCCTGCTTTCTGATATGCTGGGGTTTACAGGCCTGTGCCCATACCCAGCTAAGACATCATGTTTTGGGGGTAAAAGAATTTGGGGTTTAGAAAGTTGAAGTCCCCTGACTCTGGTTTGATTGAAAGAAAACCTAATTTGGTGACAAGTAGTTAAAAGATACAGAGAAATAATTCTGACGCATTTGCCTCTTGAGAAATACTGACGTCCATGCTACCGGACAAGGACCAAGAGATGATATATACACAGACATCCAGAGACTTGAGAGCTATATAAATGATAGGTATAAAAACTGCATGACCTCTCTTTTCTTTGTAGTTCAGTTACTGATTCTTTATATTAACTTGTATTCCTGCTGCTCCTACTGAGATTGTTTAGGGAAATAATTCTTGACTCTTGATGGGTGTGAAATCAATGTTACTCACATAGTATATATGGGATGGTATTTAACGTCTGCTGATGAAACTAAAAGAGAACCTCTGGTTATGGACTGCTTTTAAAACAGCCTCTTGCTGTCGCTCAGCTTTCCTGCTCATACTTGATGCTCTACTATTTAAGTCACACCTCCAGCTGGGCTTTTTGCTAATTGGAGATGTAGTCTCATGAACTTTTCTGCCCCAGCTGGCTTTGAACCAAGTCATCCTGGATCTTCATCTCTTGAGTCATTGGGATTGCAGCTGTGAACCAGTGGTACCCACTTTAGAGGAAGGTTTTGTTCATGTGGTGGTCTGGAAAGGAGAAGTTGGCTGGTTTTCAAGAGGGCGGCATGGCTCTGAATAAAGCTTCCTGTGCCATCTGTATGGAGGAAGTAAAAACAGCTAGCCAAGTGGCAAACTGCAGAATAAATTTTAGTCTTGAGTTAAACAGTTCAAATTTTAAATATTAGCATCTTTTAGTAGAAAATGTGAACAGAAGAACAAAATGGGAGTCTCTAAAAGACCAACATGTTTTAAGGATAATAGTGTAAGGAATTAAAAATAACTAGTTTGAGGCCTGCTCAGGTGGTACAAGCCTGACAGCTAATGCAGGTGGATCAAAAGTTCAAAGGCCATCCTCGGTGACTATACCCCGAAGTTGAAAACAGTAAAGAAAGAGTGGTGTTCATGGGAAGCACACCTGGAATGTTAAAGAAGGTACTGAAGTAGAAGAAATGGCATAGAGAAGTGAAAAGTCCTGGAAGCCCGACACTAAGCCAGGCTTTGCGTTATTGAGTCTTTCTGTTTCCTGTTTATCACCTGGCCTGTTACTTGTCAAGTTGGCCGTGAGGATTTAATAGGTGGATCTTACAGACAATTGGAAAAGTATATTTAGTGTTTCAGGAAGGAGAAAACCACCAAGAAGCTACTCAAATGAAACAGGAAAATGACAGTTGTCTCATGTCAAATCAATAGATAAAAGAATTATAGAAACCCTTAGGAAATAGAACTACAAGTTTTTAAGAGTAGTTTGTAGGGGTCTGGGAATGTGGCTTAGGAGTAGAGTACTTGCCTAGCATGCACAAAGCCCTAAGTTCAATTCCTCAGTACCACATACACAGAAAAAGCCAGAAGTGGCACTGTGGCTCAAGTGGTGGAGTGCTAACCCTGAGCACAAGGACAGTGCTCAGGCCCTGAGTTCAAGCCCCAAAACGTAAAAACAAAGCAAAAACAAAAATTTTTTTAAAAGTAGTTTGTAGGAAGTTGGAACTTAGGGAAGAAGAAATGAGTTCCTGGAAAAGAGTGATAAGTGTGCATGTAAATCAGAGGCTCTAGCATGTGAGATTTGTGTCACTCCCTCCAAGTAATTAGTATGAGCCTTACTCCTTTGGGATTATTGTGCTTTAGAAGTTACAAAGATCCTGTGTTTTGCAACATGCACGATCATGAAATTCATACAGTTGTCTATTGCTCAGCATTGTACGCTTAATATATAACTCATTGCGTGGCAGAGATCAGGATTACCGTTCCTGACTGCCTGGACAAGACATCAACCAGACTCCATCTCCAGTCAGACATGGTAGTGAATGACTAAACCCAGCTATATGGGATGTGGGGAGTTGTGTGTTAAGAGGATTGCAGTCCCAGCCTAACCTCAGGCAAAAAGCTTGAGACTAAAACATGACTACAAAGAACTGTTGGTATCTATGGGGGTAGGATTCCAAAGAGACCACTTTAGAGGTCAAAACAAAACGCAAATGCTCAGAATGCAGAGTTGTATGCTTCATTTCCCCCACAATGCCTCTCAACAGCTCCTAAAGACATCTTATAAATATATTTCAGTTTTTCACCTTAGACCTCCAATGAAGCATATCATGAACCTTTCTTGGGGAAGTAGAGCTGTGGCTCAAGTGGTTGAATGCTAGCCTTGAGCTAAAGACCTGAGGGACAGCGCCCAGTCCCAGAGTTCAAGCCCCATGACTTGGGGGGAGGGTACTTAAACCAACCTGAACCTTTCTTGGCTTAGGATTGCTGTCACTTCCCTGGTGCATTTTGGTCACTGTTTTGAGAGCGACTTCCCCCCCCCCAAAAAAAAACTAAGGGCCAGAAAACTGTAGATCA